GGTGTTGACAGCATCATTTTTCCAAGATATGAACAAGTAAATTTTAGCAGTTTCCAAGTGGTAAGTATCTTGATTACCAAGGAGCAGTGGGATGTGAAGTTGGCCGGTGAAAACAAATGATTGATAGCTTCCTTTTAACACTCTTCCTCCCCGCCGCCCCCCGCCCGCATGGCTCATTATTCTGTTGCATTAATTTAAGCTTTCCTATTGTACTGAATTAGGGGCTAACATTCTCTTATCATCCCTATGGGAATCTTGATTGTTTATTTGTAGGTGACAATAATTGTTTTTATCGATCCCCAATTGTGGAAGGTATAAAAAGTGTCATGGCTGATGACCAGCTGGTACATAGTGCTATGTGCATGACTGACAAATTGCAAGATAGTATTTGGCCCAAGAGGTGACCCTTTCAGAATTTTTTAAGGCATTTGATAGTTATGCCTTAAACTAGGTCTCTCCAAGCTAAGAAGCATAAACAACTTCACATATATCAGCTCAAGTCTTTTTGTCACTGATTCTATTGAACCTGCAAAAGGTCAGCTGGGGTGTAAGATTTATACTTCTTCCTTTCTAGAACACCCACACAGCAGGAAAGTTTAGAAATGGTGCAGCTACAAGAATTCCCAGATGCAGTGCCATCCAGGCCAGCGAATTCCCTTAGGAACCCAGATCATCAGGGCATTTATTTGGAGTGAAGTGAAAGTCACTCAGTCGTGCCCGACTCTTTGTGACCCCACGGACTATACAGTCCATGAGATTCTCTAGGCCAGAATACTGGAGTGGGTAGCCTTTCCCTTCTCCAGGGGATCTTCCCAACCCAGGGATTGAACCCAGGTCTCCCTTATTGCAGGCAGATTCTTTACCAGCTGAGTCACAGGGGAAGCCCCTTTATTTATTTGAAAGCATTCCTCTATTAAGCCAGCAGCTGCCATTCTTCCACTGAAAGTATCATTATATGGATATTAGCTGGGAGTATTGAGAAGAAACCACTTTGCTAACCCAGGCAAGTATTATGGGTAGGAAACTTCATATGATTTTACATCCCAAATTTGTCAGAGGCACTGGGGTGGGGGGAGGGGGCAGAAAATGCAACTCTTTAATTAAGTGATGGTTGTAGGACAGGATACTTGGGCAGTATGAACCTCCTAGTCTGAATCAAATGCAGCACAGCTTGCTTGAAGAGCTTTTGAGCTAATTGTTATGCTGTTTCTCCAGAGACAAAATAAATCAGTTGAAGCTTAAAAGCCATCGATTAAAAAAAAAAGCCATCGATATCAGAAATGGGGTAAAAATTTCCTTATTAAGTGGACAGATGGAAAGATCTTTGACCAGAGCCCAAACCCTGAAATTCCTGACCCTCTTTTCCTGTGGTAAAGAGAAGACAAACACAGAGAAATCATTTTGATAACTGTACCCTATTTATCCTTTGAGGGTTCTGCTAGGAAAACCTGGCTGTTGGACTCTTAGAAACAACTATATGAGTTGGACCAGAAAGAGCCAGGAGAGCTTATTTTGCTGAGTAGGGGTCCATATGTCTCACGAGCGATCCTCCCTTTGTCTCGGGGCTCTGATGCTATCTTGGACCTTGACAGCAACTATGTAGAAGGACTAGCTCCTAGCAAAACACCTAAAAAGAAAACCGATTTGACTTAATTCAGATTTTTTTTCTCACTCAAATTAATCTTTACCCTCAATGGTATGGTGGTGCCTTTGGTTTTAGACAGCCCTTCCAGCACCTTCCAGGAGCAATTGTGTGAAAGAGAAAAATATGGAGCTTCTCTCTCCAAAAGTTGAGGGAATGTAGCCACCACCACTGCCAGATAAATCTGTACACCCTTTCTATATACACCCCAGGCACTCAAAGGCATTCCCACATTACAAATGTGCATTTGTTGCGACCTGGCCAATTGTGTTATATGCTTGTTAATTACACACCCTACATGCATGGAACATGGAACTGCCACGTGGCTAAAGATGAAAACAGATTGACTATCATGGGTGATGATCGCAGAATCATTTGATTTTAAAATGAGAGTAAACCTTAGGTATGCCTTAAACTATCTCATTCTAGGGAAAAGGAAACTAAGATGCCCCAAAGAAGCTAAGTTGTCCAAAGCTTCGCATTCCAGTCATGTCACAGCTGGAATGGGAAACCAGACACCCTCACTCAGTTCTTTACTGTGCTTGGTACTAACTCTGAAACACACAGGTTCTACTTTGTTACCCTATATTGTGATTAATTGCTTTAACATGTGTGGCCTCCCCCCACTAGACAGTGTGCTCTTTAAGAAAATATTCATCACCAGCTTCTAGCATAGTCAGTAGCACATAATAGGATTCCAATGAATGTTTGTTAAAAAAGGTGAATAAGTGGGTAAATATGTGAGACCCGTCTTTTCTCATCATGTGCAAATAAATGCTGTAATTTTTTATGATCATTACTAATGCTTGGTCAGCCTAGTAATGAAGAATGGATAGGATTGGAAGGTATAAAAGTAGAAAGAAAAGGCAAGAAGAGGGAAAAAATACAATTCAACAGGAAGAAAAACTGGAAAAAAATATCAGTATGTAGACAAAATTTCTAGATTTGATTTGGGAGCTTTTGGTCAAGACTCTTGTCTCTTCTGATCTCTCCCAATTTTCAAATGACTTCTTCAGCAGATGGTGCTTTAAGCACTTCCCGTCATTGCTGCTCCTCCTCAGACACCAGAATTGCAGGATTGCCTGCAGGTTGCATTGTATTATAGGCAAAGTTGCTCTCTTATATCTTCCCCTCCCTGTGGTATGTCTTCCCACCCATTTGGCACTTGTTCCTAACCCATGCTGCGGCAACTGTTCCTGTCACAGAGGAAAGTGCATGTAACTCGATGTGGTACTGTTTCTGGAATGTTTTCCATTTAGAAGACACACCAGGAGATACAAAGGAAGTCATTTTACATATTGGTATTTCAGCCTCAGTGACAAATAGGCAGAGGGGGTGGATATAGATGCTCTGGGTTTGTTTCTCTTTGCAAATCAACCAAAGTTGATGAAAATAAAGGCTAAAAATCCAGTTATCAACCCTCACTGTGAGTTCCTTGCTCCTGAAATGCTTACCTGTTGAGATCTGATACTAAGTGGTGCCTGTTTATAAAAGAATGAAAGGATTCAGGGTCCTAACTGTAACACACTGATGGCTTGGTCGTGCAGAACTGCAGCAAGGATGTTGGACATCAGCGGGAAAAACTGCTGGTGGGAGTGCTGTGCCGGTGGTGGAGTGCAGGAGGAAAAGAGATGACAGCACTCCAGTTTACCAAGACATCTAGGTGGAAGATTGGAAATTTGGTCTTTTTTAGAAAGTGATGCTACACAGTTGCCAAACAACCTGGGGTGACCCAGATGCCCCTACGGGGAAAGTTTTAAGGAGATAGGCACTCATCTGCTTTGGATGGATTGGGTTATCTTGGCCAAAGACGAATATGGAGATCCAGCTTTTCATCCAACATTCCCTTGAACCATTTGCAATTTGACAGACTCCTCAAATCAGCACTTACCTAATTACTCTACCCCTTCAGTTATTCTACTTGCCATCTCTTTCTTAAACATATGGAGCACACATCCTCATATCTGTGATATGGAACACTTCCTGGAACACTCTTCCCTCATATGGTCTGTTGAGCAAGCGGCATCTGTTGCTCATCGCCGGGAGTAGAATTCCAAACACTTCTGCCCACTGTAGCTTGGTATTGGAGTCACCAAAGAAAACCCAACACAGTCAAGCACTGTGCTCTGGAGCACAGTGGAGTGCTGGAACAGAGCTCTCCTCGCATAGAGAAGAGAGACAGAAGAGATCAGCTGTAAGAGTGGACATGAGGCCACAGTCAGCAGGTCCCTCCCAGCAGCTGACACAGGACTGTTGGCCTGCGGGCAACCCTCTTGTGCCACAGAACAAAGGACCCCAGCCCCTTTTTGCAGGGAAGAGTTATAGCAGTGAGGTCGGCCAGGTGCCATATGTCACATAGGCAGAGCAAAGGAGTGCACGTTGAGTGTGAAGCCGAAGAGGCTACTCCCACACGAGGTGGTGAGTCCAGCACAGGCTGTGAAAACTCCTTGGTGAGGAAGTGTTCCAGGCCCAAGGCCTATTCTTATGTGACCAAGAGGGGGTTGAAAGACTGCCCCCATGAGGCTGCCTTCCCAGTAGGCCCATATCGTTTCTTCCCATTTACCTCTCCTGACCTCTCTTTTCCCCATATCTTTGTATCTATTATCAAAAAGGCCTTCCCTGATCAACCTTTATAACATAGCCATCTTCAGATCCAATCCTATAGCCTCTGTGAAGACAAAAAGCCTTGTTTTGATACTTACTATATTTATATATCTGTGTCATCTATAGCAGTGATGAGCACATAGTAGGTGCTCAGTTAAAACATGTTCAGGAGGTTGGTAACACAGGTCTTATAAAGGAAAAATCTTGTCTCATGATGCCTGGAAAACAGTGAAGGAAAACTTTTCAAATGCTTTCACATACCAAGTCATTCACTTACACCACATCCAACTTTCACTTAGAAGACCAACAAGCCTCCCAAGAAAGTGACGTGTCCAGGTAAGTAAGATAACACCATTATCATTCAACTCCTATCAGGGCTCCAAGCAACTTGAGAAAACCTGTCCTCTGATATACAGCACTAATTTGTGTCTTACGGAAAATCAGATAAATTATTTTTCACCTGAAGGGAGCACGATTATTTGACTCCAGATATTTGCCATATGGCTCCCCTTCCATACAACATAGCTTCTAGGCTTAAGGTAGTAAGAGTGAAAGCATGCCTATAAACTATTCGGAGATAATTCAAAATAAGTGTGTATCTTTGACAGATTGTCAAGTTTCCTTACGCTTTTTCCCTGATAACAAGTGCTGTGTTTTTGATAAAAGGTTGCTCATTTCTCATCACCCTTTGCTGTTGCTCTGTGTGTGTCTTCCATGTTGTTTTGTTTGTTGTTTGTTTGTTTTCATTCCCCCTACAGAGTCCAGTCTGGCTCTTACCTCAGCACGGGGTGGTTCACCTTCATTCTGGCCATGGATGCCTGTTACGGCATTCACGTCTACGGGATGATAAATGACACCTACTGCAAGTAAGATCACAGGAAATTATTTTTATGCATCTCCAATCCTGATATCTTGTCAAAATATCACAATTCATTTTAATACCATAAATCTGAGACACGGATAAAGCAACAATTATTTCCTGGCATTCTTTGCTGACATGACATTTTATTGTCAGTGCATCAAGTTGTGACTTTCAGGGATGATAAAAAGAAAAATATTTACCACAGTCTAATGTCAAATGTCAGAAGGAACCTTTTTCCTTTAGTCTGTGGCATATCAGGGACTTGTGGCTTGAAAATACAGAACAAGTTCAATGGTTATTTAATTTGCAGAACAGGTTTGTTGTTTCTGCTGCTCGAATGGTTGATGAATGGCTATCTACTCAATGGTTATATTTGATCTTGAAGGACAAAATGTCCTGAAGCCTCAGAGAGGCTGATACCTTAACAAGAATTCCTGGAAATTATATTTCACTGCTAAGTGAGTAATCTGTCAGATCCTTATTTAAAATGCAAGTGTTTATCCACAGTATATCCCTGCTGGTAGGATAGTTTCTAATTAGATAATAAAACAAACCTTCCATGCTTCATCAAGATAATGAAATAGATTTCCCTACCAACAATTGGCATAGTATCATTCAGAGAGTGTTTTAATAGTATTGTCAAATGGTACCTAAGCCACAGTCTTCATAATCAAATATTTCTACTTTAACTATAAGCGTAATGGAGCACAGATGAACCAAATATCTTACTCTGAAAATCATTAAGCCTCTTCAAGCTCTGCTAAAGCAATCAGGTTATCCAAAGTTTGTTTCCATTATACACCATTTCCTCCCTCAAAGAATGGCTCTATGTTTGCATATAATTGGTGTGATGCATAAATTTTATTTGATTTATTAAAGCACTAAGGACCTGGTGTGTCTTTCTAAAAGCTTTTGTGTATAATAGCTTTTAACTGAGTTCATGGACAAGAATCAGGCATGGGTTTGCAAGTAATGCATTTACTGGGCACATAATGGATTCTAATAAATGAGTGCTTCATTTTTCATCTCAGTCTTTCTCTCCTTTTCTTTTTTTCTTTTCTAGGACAGAAGGGTATAGAAAAGTCCCTTACCATTACTATGAACAAGGAAGAGATGAATGTGATGAATATTTTCTTCATGAACATGCCCCATATGGGGGGCATAGGTTTATCACTGAAAAGAAAGTGTTTGCTAAATGGGCCAAGAAACACAGGATAATATTTACACACCCAAACTGGACAGTGTCTTGATGTTGGCTTTTCTGACCTTGGCACACCGCTTGACATGACCATGATGCTGAGATTGTGATGCTAATGATGCTAATGCTGATGATGGTGATGATAAAGACAACAACGATAATCAAGTTTCTGTACATTCTCAGATATGGATGGTGATTCTACCTGTAATTTGAACTTGGGATTTTGTGGAGGCTGGTTGTGCTCATTACGTTCTTTCTGAAGGTTCAACATTACATATTGCACTTTATAATTTAACTGGAATTGAAATGAAGGCCAGTAATATGACAACAGTGACCTAAGAAATTGGAAGATTATCCTTCAAGATTGCTGCCCAGGATTCTTGGACAGTGAATAACTTCCAAAATCCCTGGGATTTGACCTCATGAGGCAAGGTTACTGACTCTGGTCTCTTGAGCCTGAGCAGCTCCACCATCTTGAAGAATGGTTGATTGTCAAACACTGACCCAAGAAATGCTCACTAGGTAAACTTGCCACAGTGACAGCTTGGCCTTGGGGCAGGGAAGAATTCTCTTTCTGACTTACCATCTTCCTACAGTACCTCCAACAGATAAAGCCTCAGGCCATTTCCTTATTAATGAGGAAGATACCATGGACACCCTACCCATCAGGATTACTTGACTATCTCAAACACTTCATTCAGAATGGGCCAACTAGCAAATCTTGATGAATTTCTACTCTCATCACTCCATTCTTACTACCTGCCCCCCCCCCAAATATAACTAAACATATTACTAGAATGATCTGTATTAATGTTTAGTTATTTTTGGTCAAGTCCTAAATATTTCAGAAAGCTATTTAACATATAATATACCAACACTGTAATAACATATACTGTGAAAACATTCTTAAAACATAACCAAAAGGGTTTCCTAACTCTACTACAACATCCAACAACGCAAAATTTGATGCTTTTTAAAATCATGAAACAGGGAAAGCAAAGCATATTTTTACATCAATTTGTATCCTACCATACTTCATAATATATATTTGTATATTCAAATTTCTATTTTATAGGCCCAAGATGTGTCTCTCCACACATTACATTATCATTGCCAAGTGCCAACTGTTAGACATGGAGAGGAAATGATTTCTTGTATTTAATTTGACTGGAGATTTTGCCTTCTTGGGGGTTTATTTTCCCCAGAGTGTATCAATTGCTATACCACAATAACACAATAATAATGACCTTGATGTCCAAAGTACTTTGTCATGTAGAGTTTTTCACATATGCTGTCTCATGTGACACCCGTGACCACCCCACTGGGCTATTGTCTACACATTCTGACATATTAGCAGATGATCTATAATTTGTTAATTGCTCTAATATGTTCCAGATTGCTCCCCTTGCTAATATTTGTATAGAATAGCATTTGTGTAGACTAGCAACCAATTGATTTCAGTGCCAAATAAATGTATTATATCAAGATTATGCAGAAGGCATCCCAAGGATGGGTCTTGGCCATAGACTAAAACCCCTGTGAACAAAGGGTACTTTTGATTTTTTTCCCATGACTCCATTTAGGTGGGGAAAAGATGAGGTAAAGGGACAACAGGAAAGAATAGAAGCAGAGAAATATAGTTTCTTGTCTCCACCTTAAGATTACTTTGTTCTCCAGACACTCATTGCTTGTCAAATATTAGAGGGTTAAATTACTGAGAGAGGAGCTCAGAGACCAAAGACATCCTTACCGGTATTCAGAGGACAAAGCTGGGCTCAATTCACAGCCTGTTTCAGAGGCTGGAAGTGATGATAATTTTCACCTCAGGAGCTCTCTGTAGGTCTCTACCAGTATTAAGCCCCACCATTAGCTATCCTTAAAATGGGTCCTCTTGTGAAAAGTCCTCTTTCCTGTTCTCTTCTGCCATTTCAATACCTCAGTCCTCACATCCATAAAAATGACCAAGTGCCACTTTCATTGTTTAAACTGTTATTGTTGTTTTTCTTTTGCTGTTTCCTCATGTGACTTTCAGTTGTATATATGTTAGTTTTTGCAAGCTAATGATGGATAGAAATGCCCACTCAAAGGAAAATAAACAGATGAAAATGTCATGGTTGTAATACAGACTGTTTTTTCTCCCTGTTGTGATACAAAAGTTCCACTTTTAAATAAAAAGGAAACCTTGGTTATCAGAGTGTTTCAAAGAATGACATAATGCAGTTGATTTAGTTTTCTGGTAAATGGAAAGCCAACCCTATTTGTTTTACTGAGAAACTTCCAAAAACATCCGTGTTCTCCTGCCTCACTGTGGTGCTCTGTGATGGAGACTTCTGCAACACCACTCTGTGTGGTGGTAGATATGTGTAGAATAGGCAGTGTTTCCTTCGGAAGGGTAAGGGGGGGCCTCCCCTTCCCTTTTTTCACCTTAAACTCCAGTTTTACACTTTTCATTGTTGCCTCTTATCTCCTTTTTCCACTAAGATTGGGAAACAAAAATCAGATTATTCTCATTGTGTAGGCCTAATTGAATGACTTCCAGTGCCATCATCATTTTGATAGAATTACGAACTACATGACTTATTTTTCTTTGCAGTCTTAACATTCTCTGCTTCCATTTCCTGTTCTTCTTCTTTTTAAAATTATTTTATTATTCTTATTGTTATTTTATTTATTTCTACTTTTTGGCTGTGCCCCATGACGTGTGGGACCTTAGTTCCCCGACCAGTGATCAGGATTGCATCCCCTGCATTGGAAGCATGGTCTTAACTGCTGGGCTACCAGGAAAGTCCCATTTACCCTCAGCTTTCTACTGCTAGTGGAAATACAAAGTCTAATTTGTCCTATGTTGAGAAATTTTCCACCTAAGGTTTACTGATAGAGAAGCAAATGGTAAAGGATCAAAATTTAAGGAGAGAACTTTTTATGCAAATTTCTGGTCCACATCACAGGTTCTAGTTAACTAAAAAGGGATTTTGCACAGCATCTAAACATTGAAAAATTTGGCTAAACTCATTTATCAATGATATGTATGTATCCCAGAAGTTAATTAATATTTGTAAAAAATAAAAATATTTCCATGTCATCCAAGGCTCTAGGCACATGGACTCTGGCAAATGCCATGATTTTCTGAAATGAACATAAAATGTGCAAACTAAAAATAATAAAGTAAATATTATTTTTAATTCTGCAGAATCCTTGATGAAAAGCAAGAAAATTTTAAAGCAATTTTTAAAATTAATGTTTGAATCCTTTCTAAGTTAGTCTAATGATAAGTAGTAGTTATTTCTATTTTTATGGTAGTAACGTGAGTTAGAAGCATTTTAAAATATATGATTTTACATTGTTAATCAAATCTATCAAAGAAAAACAATTTGGAAGGATGTTTGTATATATGCACATAGAATCTCTGTGTATATATGTATATTCATGTGTGTTTGTGTGTATACAAAGGTATACATGTAAACCTGTATTCTCACTGATGTGTATGAATTACAGAAAAATCTAGTTTAGACTTGATGTGAAATTTGTTGGGTTACATTTTGAATCTTGAAGAAAAAAGAAGAACCAGATTAAATGTACTGATTGCTAAGAGTATGTAAAACACTATCAGCAGCTGGCCAAAAGAATAAAGCTAGAGAAGCTGCTAAATCCAGAACTGAGGACACAATTATATGCCACGGCAGTCACAAATCAGACCTGGAAGTACAGCAATCTGTATCACAGGCTCTGCCGATTGCAGCTCAGCTAAAGTCACATCGGAAAACATCGCATCAAGCTCCATTCACACTGACGTGAATGAACACTGGTCCTCTTATTCAAATAAGCCTGTCTTTACCATAAGCAAACTCTGATTTGCATGATTTTTATTATATGGCTAGAGAACTGTGACCATTGTGAAAAAGAGAAAATTATATAAGGAGATTTCTCCTTGAGGATTTGGAATGAATCAGCTCACGTGGAAACAAGAGTCTGAACTGGGGACCTCACTGACCTTTCCAGAAGTATAAAGTCACTAGAAGAGAATCACTCATTACTTCCTTAGGAAAAAAAAACAAAACACTAAAGTACTTCACCTGGTGGTGTTAACTGGACATTAATTATAAGCTCAGTTTAATTTCAATAAGCATGAAAATATAATCAGATGACTCATTAAAAAAAAAAAGTAATGTTTAATGTGGCATGTCAAATGCAAAGAACAAATTCTGTTGTCCAGTGTCAGTTGCTTGCATGTCTTAGCACAATAAATAATTTATAGTCCCAGGGCCAAGAGGGGAAAATGCTTTTTCCTTGACTGCAGTTTTAAAAGGCAAGACCTCATCATTTTCATAGTATACATAGATCCTGTAACTGAAGGAGCCAGTGCCAGCCTTTGTACATTGTCTGGACTTGTAAAACTGCAAGGGGCTTTAGAGACCAAACCATCCAACTCCTGCATCTTGGATTTGAGGAAATTGACTGGTGGAGGTGAAGCGACTTGCCAGTGGCTATAAACCAGACTAATAGCAGTACTGAGACTTAATCTCATGTCTCTTTCTTTAGTACTTTCTCCATTACGTTGTTTGTTTGTTTTAGCACAGAATAGTAGCTGGAAAATGCATACTGACTTATTGGAAGACTATTCCTGGAAGCCAAAGGCTCCAATTAATGTTGATTTTACTTATGATCAAAATAATTCTTCCACTGAACTATAGGAATATTTTTAAATTGAAGTAGTAGCTCAGTAATTGTTGATACTCTCTGTTATCTATATGGGCTTCCCTGGTGGCTCAGATGGTAAAAAATCTACCTGCAATACAGGAACCAGTTTCTATCCTTGGTCAGAAGATCCTCTGGAGAAGGGAATGGCTATCCATTCCAGTATTTTTGCCTGGAAAATCCCATGGACAGAGAAGCCTGGTCCATGGGGTCACAAGAAGTTGGACACAACTGAGCAACTAACACTTTCTATCACCGATGTTTGTTGGTAACTCTAGGCCATGTCCTATTGTCATAAAATTCAAGGATTAAAGAATGGATGGATAAAAGTCAATGTCATCTTTTGTTATTGAGGATGATGAAGTCATTGATACTCTTAAGGGCTGCTGAATTGTACCAGGTTACCTGGTATAACTGGCAGGTCCTATTGTTGAATTGTCCCTAGAGCCTCATCCTGGCAGCAAATCAGCTGCCTGGGTTAATGAAATAAGACATTTGCAATGGCAGGTGAAATGTTACCCTTTGGTTTCACACTCAGCTCTGCACTGCACATGATCTTTGAGTCTGTGTACCCTCTGGACAGTAAATCAAATGCCCCACAAGACTCAATTACCATGAAGATTGAAAGGTTGTTTTTGTTTTTGTTTTCTTATAGCCCATTCATGTTATATTGTTAGAAGAGGAGAATTTTGAAATATATGCACCAGGCTCTGAAATGTCTCAGAGATAGCATATTGTCCTATTGCTTATTTTTGCTGAATCTTAGAGAATCCGCTAGAGTAAAATTCCATGTAAATTGTTAAGGCATCAAATCAGAACTGTCCTTGGGCGTTGTAACACTACAGAATACATCATTTATTTTGGTTGTTCTTAATCTTTTTTTTTTTTTGATGGAGTTAAAAAGCTCCTCTTTTTCCATGGATACATTTCCTTTTGTTCTTGCCTTGGAGACTTCAGAAAAATAGAAGCTCACTTTCATAAAAGTGAAGAACATCTTGACAAATAAATAGCCAACATTTGCCTACCTAGTGAGCAGTTTCTTCTAAGAAACTCCAAAGGGACCAAAAGCATGGCATTTCATGGTTTCTTGTTATCTAACCTACAAAGCAATCACTTCCCTGTGTTTAACTTTGTTGGTATTGCTACTGAGTAAATACCCATTTCTATTACATACAGTATATTTTATGCTTCACTCATTTTTCTGAGTTCACACAATTTTTGCTGTAGTCTTTCATTCACTTTAAAAACCTGTAATCTTCATCTATTTATAGAAGAAACTGTAAATGCACAGTTGTGCATTTGGTGAGGTTTTATTTTCCCTTGGCATCATATTGCTTTATTTATAAGCATCATGCCTTAGAACAAAGCTTACTAAGTGGCAGAGGACTACTGGTATATTTCAGTTTGGTTTACTTTTATGACAAGACAGATGAGGAGAGGTGAACAAAGCCAGAGAATATATGTCACTGAAGGTGCAGGGTGGGGTGGGGGGGGGGCGGGAGTTGAGTGGCAGTGAGGGAGAGAGATTCAATACCCAAGGCAGAAAGACTTCTCTGATACTACTGTAGACAATGTCAAGAGAAGATGTCGGTCAGCCTCCAAAATCTGCTTTGTCAACATTAACTATCTGATGCTGAGGTATGTTGCTTATCTTGCTGTATTAGACCTGTTAGCAAAGTTGAGTTAGTACACAAGCTGCTTAAAATAGAGAAGGCTGCATTCTCTCTTCCCTCTCTCTTTCATTACTTCCTTCCTTTCCTTTCATTTCTTCCATTCTCCCTTATTTCCTTTCTAGAAAACTCAGCAGTCTTGAAGTTGAATATCATATATGGATAGTTTCTCATTTTACAATTTAGCTTAGAGTACTCTAATAAACCTATATAGCGGTCCCCAGCCTTTCTGGCACCAGGGACCAGATTTATGAAAGATCATTTTTCTGCAGACTAGGGAGGGGGGATGGTTTCAGGATTATTCAAGTGCATTACATTTATTATGCACTTTATTTCTTTTATTTTTACATCAGCTCCACCATAGATCATCAGTCATTAGATCCCAGAGGTTGAGAATCCCTGCTATAACAGACCCTTATTTGAATATGATCTTAAAATGAGCATCTTTCATGGAAAAAAGTAATAATAACCCATGCTTATATGTCAGGTTTATTAAAGGGCCGTCATATTGCGTTCAGTGACCTGAAATACTACGAGGTGTATAACGTTACTATAATAATTTCACATACCAGTTCAGTTCAGTCACTCAGTCATCTCCAACTCTTTGCAACCCCATGGACTGCAGCACACCAGGCTACCCTGTCTATTACCAACTCTTGGAGCTTGCTCAACTCATATCCATTGTGTTGGTGATGGCATCCAACCATCTCAACCACTGTCGTCCCCTTTTCCGCTTGCCTTCAATC